ATAGAACAAGAGAGCAAAGTCCCGTTCGTAAAAACGTCATGCCTGTGTAGGACGCCAACTAACGGTTGTATATTCTTTTTATTACCCAGTGCCTGTCTCTTATACACATCTAGATGTGTATAAGGGACAGGTATAATATCTGCAGGAATCCAAACTGATATAGGTAGGGTATGGATTGACTCCGTTTGTTTTTGAAGGAGGTGTGAGCTTCAAATTGACATAAGCAATAACTTTGTTTACGCCCTCTATTTATATGAAAGTTAAAATTGAATCGTCTTGCCTTCTTTCATTCAATCATTCATGGTCAGTCGGTGAAGCGTGTAATGTAATCATATTTCTTTGTATCAAATGGTACTGATATTGCACATGAACTTGCAGGTTTTGCTGCTTGCTATAATTCTGATGAATGGTAGTTGAATTCCGTTAGGTTCGTATCGTTTAATTCGTTTTCTTAGGCCGACTAGGCTAACGTCTCGTTGCTACTAGGCCTAGCCTAGGTATGCTAGGCCCCATCACTCAAGGCTTCAATGAAGTGTTTTCTTTTATTCATGACAATGCCGCAGGCTGAGACTCAGAGCCAGCCTTGAATGCCCGTAAATTAAGACCTACGTAGGGCCCTAGCCTAGGCCTTGAGCTTGGCAAGTATTCGTGTTATGTGTTAGTAGTTATCTCATCAGTAATAACGATACTGCATAGGCACAGTGCTCTGTCCCGTTATGTGGTGAATTAATGTTGCATTATAATATAGGCTTGGCTACTCAGCAGGATAGGCCTAGGCCTGTAATAAAATAGGCATAGGCCCCTAGGCCTTTTTTTGGCCTAGGCCTATAGGCTATAACACACACACGTCGTCAAATGTCATGATGTGGTTCACTACATCATGAATATTAATAAGGCTTGAATTGTTTATTTAAATGCCCAGCAATGTTTATTGTATTGTTCAAAGTTATTTTGAGGGGGAATATTATATTCAAGGAAGGCATTTAGTTATTTATTTGGTGAAAAGTGGATACATTTAATTTATACATACTCAAATAACCTATAAAATGTATAAATGTACAACACCAAATTTATCATTGTTAGGTCATGTAGTCTATATCTCATTGAATTAGATTTTTTTTTTTTTTTCAAAATGACTTGGGCAGTTTATTTGAGTATAGGGGGTATTACATAGTTACACCTACATTACTGCACATAAGGTACAGATATAATTTTTTGGTTTTTCGAAAACCTCATTTGACATTTTACCTCAGCCTCAATTTGTTTTTAATTTTTAAGCAATTTCAGCCTCAGTGTTCTTATAAAATGTGTTCATATATTAAAAAAAAAAAGTGTACTGTACTTATTCAATAAGTATACATATGCTAACACATTGACGTATGACTAGTTAAATTATTTAAATTACCGTAAGTGCTCGAATAAGCACCGCTCACGAATAAGCGCCACTCCCGAATAAGTGCTGCACTAAACATGATTTTTTTCGCTAAACGCCGCTCTCGAATAAGCGCAGCGGTGCCTAATTGAGAGTATTATATTACCCTGTGTTTAAAACACTTTGAGAAACAGAGTTTTAAATACAATACAGTGTTAAAATCAATAAATAAGTCAATGAAGACACAAGTATTTCTTTATAAACATTTATTTACAATGACGTTGGACCTATGGTAGGTCTACTGTACTACAGGAATATGTGAGATAGGTAACATGGTAACAGGCATGAAAAGCGCCAAACCAATATTTGTTTATCTCTTGAATAACCGCCCCTTTAGAATAAGCGCAGCACTGAAGCCTCCAAAAATTTGATAAGTGCTGTGGTGCTTTTTAGAGCATTTACGGTGTATACATTTGACAGTTATGATATTGTAATACTGTATTTTGCATGTGAAAAAAATTGTGAATTATTTTGTTGTATAGATCCTATTCAATAAAATCTACAAAAATGGATCTAGCTAGTGTATGCAAAACATTCATAAGTCTGCAGTCATTTCCTGTTATGATAATCTACCTCATCGTTGTCTTCTTAGCACCGTATTACCAGAAAGTAACTAAGCCTATCTCTCTCAAAATGGTAAGATTATATTTTATTTTTATTTAGAGCTTAGAACTAATTGTGCGCTGAACCATGGAAATGGTCGTCTTATATTAGTTCTTGGTTTAATTCTTATTGCTGCAGGCTTTCCATGCTTCAATGCAAGTTTATAGCATGCATAGTTTTTTAGCCTTTATTATTATTATTATTATTATTGTTATTATTATTATTATTTATTGTTAATTTTATTTTCAATTTCATTTTCTTGGTTGGCCTATATAATTTTGTGTAAAGCACATACATAGAGGCAATGTGCGATATGCACTATATAAATATATATCATTATTATTATTATTATTATTATTATTATTATTATTATTATTATTATAATGTCTGTTGGATGAGACGTTTATGCTGTTGGTCTAGTGTGCAGTAATATTGTTCTTGGGAACATAATTAACGTTCAGAAAAGAGTAAGGTAATTTCTCTCGGTGTACAGTACCTGTATTGCAAAATTCCCAACCTAAAGAAAAGGACCCACTTGTGTCTATAGACTTTCATGGGTTACTGTACCTTTAAAAGTATAATTATTTCGCACTAAGAAATATAAATCAATCCAATAGTTTCTTTGGTATAAGCCTATCCCTCTTGAACACAAAATTGGGTCCAGATATTTAATGATTGTATGCAAGAAAAGCTCTAGGCAATGCAAACAATAGTGAGTCTTCAGGCCTAGCTAGATTAGATAGATAACCTTATACCCGATTCACACGTACAAAAATCTTACCAAATGTAACAAAATGTAACCAAAAGTAACATTTTACGGCACGTGTGAAAGTACCTCCGTGTAATATCCTTGTAAAATCTCGGAACGTCTCGGTAATCTTTACCAGCATCGTTGAGGCTGGTAAAGCTTCCGAAATGTAGCATGGCTGGATCTGCGCATGCGCAGGGATTTCAACACAACAACAATTTACTGTGTTTCACGGGGTTCTTTGAATTTTCTTCCTTCTGCAGACGATTCTGATCCACTAGAAATAGATAGGCCTAGTTTTTCTCAATGATGAATGAATTACCCTTGTTATTGATGTTAATTAGTAATGGTAGAAGAAGAAGATATACATAAAATGAACGTTGGGA